CAACATTTTGTCTGTAGATTCATACATGTCTTTACATATAGCAGTAGTTCTTTCTCATTGTGATATTGTATGCCCTGCTCATTTTACCCATGGTGGGTATCTGTGTTCTAGTTTTTAGCTTTTATGAGAAAGGCTACTGAGAACATTCCTGCATACCTTTTGGTGCACAGGTGTATTGTTTTCAGCTGGTTAATAGTACAGAGTAGTGAAATTCCTGGGTCATAGCGTTTGTTTAACTTCATCTTACGTATTTAATACCAGTTTTTTAAAGTTGTCCAATTTACACTCAAACCATGGGTGAATGAGTGTTTAGTTGTTCCACACATTTTCTAATACTTATTATTTTCAGTCTTTTCATTTTAGCTGTTATCTTGTGGTTTTAACTTTAATTTTTCTGATTATTAATGAAGTTGAGCATTTGTTGATATGTTTATTAGCCATTTGGGTATCTTCTATTGTGAAGTGCTTGTTCACATCTCTTGCCTGTTTTCCTATTGGGTTGTCTTGCTGGTTTGAAGGAGTTCTTTGTATAGGTTGGTTATCAGCCCTTATATTTTTTATATTTGCAGTAAATATTTTCTCCCTTCAACTATCACTTGACTCCATTCTCACAGTGATGTCTTTTGATGGATAGAAGTTCTAAATTTAAATATAGTCCAGTTTTTCAGTGTTTTCCTTTTTGGTTAATGCTTTATGGATACAGTTCAAGCCACCTTTTTCATAAATTATGAAGGGAGATATTTAAATTCAAGTTGCATTCAGGTAATTCTGATATTTGAAATTATCATAAACTCACATGCTAAACCTGCCATCTAAGACAGCTGTGCCCGATCCAATCAAGAACAAATGGCCATCTTCTGTCAAGTCTTGGAAGAATGGAGATTTCTTAACCTGTTATCTTTTGAGTTAAATTTATCTTGATTGTTAAATTATCTAGATTGTTTTGTTGTGATTTAAGTCCATTCTTGTGGCCATCAAGACTACAGGCTATGATCCTTGCCTAAGGTGGGAAGTACTTCTCTCATCTCAGTCCATTGTTTCTCTATCTGAGATGGAGGCTTGTGGCAATTATTCTGTACCTTCATTTCAGTCCTGTCCCACCACCCCCATGCCCTGCTTGCTGGAAGGGAGCAATGGAACCTAAAGAGTTTAACCTTTCATCAATTTTTTTTTTAAAGTAGAGTACTGGAAAGTCTACATTCACTTGCCAAATATTTACCAAAAACCTAATATTTATAATGTATCATGGGATGTATACAAATAAACAAGACTTGGCCTCTATCTGTAAGGAATATGAAGCAGGGGAACAGGGGGTGGGGGGGCATAGTTGATTTAATTAAGCTGTTGTTTGTCTTTAAGAAGCAGAATAGTCTTGGCTCTTCCTAAAGTCTTCTTGATACAACTATCTAGGTGGAAGGGAAAGCTGGTAAGAGATGTGTTCTTTTCCTGCCATGGCTAGGTCATTGATTAGACCAAAAGCCTAGCAAGTAATTCTTCAAGAGATTTATTGTAAAACTATTTTTGCAGCTCTTTACTTTTCTTAGTGTTCTTCCTGATGGCCATCTGTTTCTTTCAGTATTGGACACTGAGTTATGGCTATGCAGATGCAACTTGAAGCAAATGCAGATACTTCAGTGGAAGAAGAGAGCTTTGGCCCACAACCTATTTCACGATTAGAGGTATATGCTTGGTTGCTAATTTTAGAATTATAATACTGGACGAGATTGTTCTGCCTATTGGGAGAAATTACTGCCTTTACATAAATCACTGGTTTACTACCTAAGGTTGAAATCCAAATTAGAGTTTTCCGGAGGATGGTCAAGGATTCTGTGGAAAAGCTTAAGACAGCTGCCAGACATGTCTAGCCAGATTTCTTCTTTTGTCAAGAATTCTCCTCCTACTTTATCATTTTTCGTTGGGTGGTCAGAAACTAAGAAGCCCTAGGATCCCACGGTAGAGTCTCTGCTTTTTGTACTAAGTATGAAATTACTGTCCAGGGAATTACAGTGGCCTAGGCCAGCTCTGCAGGAAGGGGAGAGGAACAATGTCTCTGCATTGACCTGGACCTGTGCTGAAGGTACTAGGAAGACAGCTGTCATAGGCAGAGAGAGGAGCTTGGAGTTGTTAAGGGTGAGAGCCAAGCTCCAGTTCAAGACTCTACACAGGACTATCAAGCACCAGAGCTGGGGCCTTGCACTATTTCTGCTGTTGTACGGAGGCCCCAGGGTGAGTGCAGCTGACTTGGGCTGAAAGAAGCAGGAGAGAATGCTGAGAAAGCCTTCTTTCTTCTGTCTCTTTATGCGTATTCCTCCCATCCCCAGCTAAGCTTCAAGACTCTAGAAGTTACTTAAACGAGCTTGCAGTAAACATTGGAGAGTTCAGAGTCATGAATTTTGGCTTCAATGAGTATCCTTATACCTACACGTGTTTACTGCTTATTGCTTAAATGTTAGTAACGACCTGGTTTCTATGGGCAGGTACTATTCTCTCCCCCTCAAAACCTTCCCTGGTCCCCAAATACATATACATCCCCCCAATAACTCAGTCTTTCCTAGAAGTCATGGTTTTGGTGGCTAATAAAACCAAAATTGACTTTGTATATAGGGAGAAAGAGATGCCTTGGGTGGTTTGTTTTTGAGAAGTGGTAAGTAAGTCCCTGACCAGAAGTAGTTTTCCCCATTTTTATTATCAGTCGTTAAGCAGAGCTTTCCAGTCACTGTGCTACAAAAGGTTACTATTGTGGTAAGACATGCTCCCTTTGGCTCTGGGGCAGTCTTAACTGTTTACTCAGCTTAGTATAAAAAACACCATTTTTGTATGTGTGCTTGGTCTGATAAACATTGGCACACACTGGTTTAAAGTGGCCAGGGTCTCAAAGTTCATTTAGGGTCCCATTCATAAAAGACTGAGAGTTACAGGTTTAATCCAATTCATGATAAGAGTCTATTTTAATATACATAGTGCTAGTTTATAACTACTGGTTTTGACAGTGAAAAGCCTGATGAATTGCTATTTAATACCTCATATGTAGGGCATAGTTTTCAAAGCTTTTGTATGTAATATCAAAAAACAGCTCTGTGAAGTAAGTAGGACAAATATCTACATTACACAGATGAGCAAACCAAAGCTTAAGTCTATCCTTGGTTTTCTTCACTTGTAGCAATGTGGCATAAATGCCAATGATGTGAAGAAATTGGAAGAAGCTGGATTCCATACTGTGGAGGCTGTTGCCTATGCACCCAAGAAGGAGCTAGTAAATATTAAGGGGATTAGTGAAGCCAAAGCTGATAAAATTCTGGTAAGTACTGCTTATGTGACCAAGGGAGGCAGTAGTGGGAATAGTACAAAAGGCTGTACAGTGAAAGGCAGCGGCCTCCTCTCATCGCTCGTTTTGTCATCCTGTTCCCCTTTCCAGAGGTGACTGCATTACCAGTTAATTATCTTTGTATGTGCCTCCTTGCATAAATTGGGATTTTTTTCTAGGAAACTGAGATGTCATGGGGTATGACATAAATACTGGCAAACTGACTGCCAGTTTGCACTCTCACCAGCAGTAAGTGGTCTGTACCTTATCTTTCTAGATATTATGACCTCATGCCTTAGAAATATACTCATTAGTATGCAGCCACAAAAACAGTTTCAAAGAATATTCACTGACGTAGGAAAATGTTCCTGATATAAGAAAGTTCAGCAAAACATGTTTGTGCACCTATATGTTTTGTTTTTAAAAATGTGCATATTAATGTATTATAGCAACATACACTGGGGATATATACAGTAAAATTAACATTGTTTCTGGATGGTAAGAATATGAGCAGTTTTTATTTTTGCCCCAGTTTTCTGAAGTTTCTACATTTTCCTTGATAAATATGTATTACTTTAAATAGAAAAGCTGTTTTTATTTGTTGAATACTGAAGTCATATTAATTAGGCTCTCAATGTGTATAATCTGTTAGTCAACTAGTTATAAGCAAGACTCTTTAATAATAAGAAAATATCAATTCAGATTGTATGCTTAGTTTTTTTAACCTTAATAATGACATAAAAGTGATTTTACTGGCTTACCAAAAATGACCTAGTAGCTTAATAACCCCTTATATCATATAGTACTTTAACTTTGAAATCTCATCTGTTTCATATACACAGTATTCTCATTTAGCCTTCATAATGACACTGAAAAAGATAGGTAGGGCCAGTATTATCTCTGTCTTACAGGTGCGGAAACTTAGGCACAGTGGTTCAATAGTTTATCCAAAGTTATGCAAATGATGCCAAAACAAAGGCTAGAATCCTATTATTTTCATCCTGATACACTGTGATCCTTTCTTATTTCCCTCCAGTGTCTTACAGCTGCAAATTCATTTTTCTTGCTTCATATATTTCTTTAGCACTCATATTATCTCATGATTAACTTTATTTTATGCACTTATCCTTTGGTGCTTACAGGCATACCTTGGGGATAATTGGGAGTTTAGTCCAGACTACCACAGTAAAGCAAATATTGCAATAAAGTGTGTCAAACAAATTGTTTGGTTTCCCAGTGCATGTAAAATTTATGTTTACACTATTCTGTAGTCTGTTAAGTATACAATAGCATTATGTCTAAAAACAATGTACAAACTTTAAAAATACTTCATTGCTAAAAAATATTAATCATCATGTGAGCCTTCAGCGCATCGAAATCTTTGCTTGTGGAGGGTTTTGCCTTGATTCTGATGGCTACTGACTGATCTGGGTGGTGGTGGTGAAGCTTGATGTGGCCGCAGCTACTTCTCAAAATAAGACAGCAATGAAGTTTGCCACGTCGATTGACTCTTCCTTTTATGAACGATTTCTGTGCAATATGCAATGTCATTTGATAGCATTTTACCTACAGTAGAAATTTTTTCAAAATTGGTGTCTGTCCTCTCAAACCCTGCCACTGCTTTATCAGCTAAGTTTGTGTTATATTCTTAAATCTTTTGTTGTCATTTCACCAGTCTTAATAGCATCTTCACCAGGAGTAGATTCCATCTCAAGAAATTACTGTTTGCTTATCTATAAGAAGCAACTCCTCATTCATGAAAGTTTTATCATGACATTTCAGCAGTTCATCCACACCTTCAGACTCCACTTCTAGTTCTCTTGCTATTTCCATCATATCTGTATTTATTTTCTCCACTGAAGTCTTGAACCATGAGGGTGGGAATCAGCCTCATTTAAACTCTTGTTGATGATATTTTGACCTCTTCCTATGAACCATGAATGTTCTTAATGGCATCTAGAATTTTCCAAATTTTCAACTGACTGCCCAGATCCATCAGAGGAGTCACTATCTATGGCAACTATAGCCTTACAAGATGTATTTTTTAAATAATGAGATTTGAAAGGTGAAATTACTCCTTGATCCATGGGGTACAGAATGGCTGTTGTGTTAGCAGCCATGAAAACAATGTTAAATCTCATTGTACATCTCCATCATTCTTGGGTGACCAGGTGCATTGTCAATGAGCGTATTATTTTGAAAGAAATCACTTTTTCTGAGCATCAGGTCTCAACAGCGGGCTCAAAATATTCAGTAAACCATGTTGTAAACAGATGTGTTGTCATCCAGGCTTTGTTGTTGCATTTATAGAGCACAAGCAGAATAGATTTAGTGTAATTCTCAAGGGCTGTAGGATTTTCAGAATGGTAAATGAACGCTGGCTTCAGCTTAAAGTCACCAGCTGCATTAGCCCCTCAAAAGAGAGTCAGCTTTTGAAACTTTGAAGCCAGGCATTGTGAAAGTCATAGATGGCATTCTTCTTCCAACATGAGACTC